TTACAGAGTCGCCTACTATGGCACCCAATTCACATTTTGTTTTCTTCCTCTGCCCCTTTGTCTACCTAATTTCTTACTTTTTGTGCGTCACGCATTTCTTTCCTTCATTTCCCTTTCCTCCTTCTCTCATTTTACTTTCTTAATTTTTCTTTCTTCAGTAGCCCAATAACAGACTCTACAAATTTCTGCTGTCGAACTGTCTTCATTCTTTCCCATTTGTGACCAGAATATTCTTTCTCCGACAAAGTTCAGCACGCTGAGTGTGAAACAAAATTACAGGAACACAAAACCACAGGGGAAAGTGCTGCAACCGGCCCTGCAGGCCTGACTGGTTCCAGCCGGTGTGCACTGAGACTCCTCAGGGTCGCTTTACATGCCGTGACTAGGTCCGCCTAGTTTCAGAAACGCAATACGCACTTTTCCTTCAATTCCAATACGAAGCGCTTTATTTATAGTTTAAAATGTTCGTCGCTATGGGGCTGACCATACGTCACGGTATCTATGTGTAACAAACTCCGAAACGTAAACTTGTTTATTATCGTACACTGCAGCACGCGGTAACGTACTTGGCTGAGGCACTATGTTACACGCCGGAAGGTCGCGGGTTCGATTCCGCGTTGAGGTCATGGGATTTATTTTTGCAACTGACCTCATCTTTTCTAGCCGCACTATGAGTACCAGGAATATATTGCTTGGGGGTGAAGGGCGAAAGGCGCGTGAGGTTCCTAACCTCACCGCCATTTGTGAGCAGACTGTCTAAAAAATGCGGAAGCGTCGACGTCTGACAACCCTACGGGCCTTCACGACCTGTTACGGGAATAGCTTTACCCTCTTTTTCCTTCTTGAAAAGTAATCATGTCCACCGCTATCTCGCAGCGTCAATATTCGAAATAATGGAAGTTCGCTGCCTAACCCACTTCAATCATCTCACCCATCTTTCCCCTACGCCTAAATAATAGACCTGACTTTTTCCGTTATATTCTTGCTTTTACTTTCCGTTTCGTTCGCCGAACACTTCTCGTTCATTTGACATAAATCTGCGTTGGGTTTTACCTTAGAGGTTTATGTACTGCCCAGACAAGATTCTTTTTCGATGGAAATGTCTCTGAGATTAATCTGGGTTCCGTTTCAGATATGACTGAAATGTGTACGTTAAAAATGGCAGGGGTTAATTTCACCTTCAGGCTACCACACCACGACAACTTCCATGCAAAGGCAGAAATAATGACTGCGTTTCAGGTGTCCGAGAGGTTAGTAGTTACAAAAACGGTAAAGTTGTATCCGTGAATAATTGAGCGTCTGGCCATAACGTATGGGGGGGGGACATACATCTCCATGTAATCCTAATTTTGACAATAGGTGCTGCTAAATACGTTAACATAGGATTTTATAGTTCTCTCTATGACTCCTCAGCTCTTTGTTGGGCCTTGGCCGCTTTTCAGTTTCTAAATCCTATATAGAGCCGCTGCCAGTCACGGTAGCCGAGCGGTCTAAGGCATGCACTGTCTTCGCTCGCTCGGAAGCCGGGATCGTGGATTCGAATCCCACTCAGGGCATGGATGTTTGTGTGCGTTTTTATGTTTCTGTACAGGTAGAGGCCTTGCGACGAGCTGATCACACGCCCAAGGAGACCTACCATATGTCTAAGGTCTAGTAAAACCGAAGTGAAACGGACAGTTTCATGGAGGTAGGCCTAGGCCCAAATTGGGGCTGTAGCGCCAATGAACAAAAAATATATATAGCCGGTAGGACTCCTTGGACGGGGGATCACCCCATCGCAAGGCCTCTACCTATGCACAGAATAAACGCATACAGACATCCATGCCTCGAGTCGAATTCGAACCCAAGACCCCAGTGTTCGGGCGGAAGACGACTGTTCATGCCTTAGACGTCGCGGCCACTGTGATCGGCAAGTTTATACTTCACTCTGGTTTAATATTAAGTCGTAAAGTTGTCCTGTGCTTAATTAAGCACCGCATCATGAAGACGTGTGAGAAAATTAAGGCATTTCTCCACAGATTCTGAATATGTGCACTCGATGGAGACGTGTGATCACTTTCATGTCCCCAGTAACCGTGGAAAGGATGGGTAGGTCCCAAGGACAGCCTGAAAACTTTTTTAATGGAAATTTATCTGGTCCTGCAGGGAATCGAACCCCAACTCCTCGTTCGTCCTGCCCATAAACCAGTCGTTATACTTCCTGACGTATCTTGCATTACAGGCCGCTGGCTTCACACCGCGGCGGCCCGAGTTCGAGCCCGGGTCTGATAACGTGGGATTTGTGGTGGACAAAGTGACGCTGGGGCAGGTTTTCTCCGAGTACTTCGGTCTCCCCCGACAATCACCACCATCTATCATCCGGGGCTGGTACAATACGCCAGTAGTGGACTTACTCTCACCCCAATAATAATAATAAAAATGAAATAATAATCCTGCATTATCCGACATGTGGAGTGAAGAACCCGAAGCAGGCGACACGGTGTAATTTGCACAGAGACCCACATTCCGTGATCTCTGACTGTACACCTAAAAATAGATCGTCTGTTTTAGCATGGGCCTATATTTTGCTTATTTTAAAAACGATTATAAAATCTGAATGGGTTTCTTCTACAGGTTTTAAGACTCGCCTTTGTACAACGAACCCAGCTACAATGCCCGCTTCCGGGTCTTAAAATAAACTGGACTCGGATAATGATAACAGACGTCTTTAATTAACTCGTATTTAATGCCTGCAACTATGTGTAAGTACACTGGATAGCTCTTCTGCGTGGAGTTTTAATGAACTTGCATACGAAAAGTAAAAAAATATCAGGGTACAAACAACATTATTCTTTTTTGCCTTCATTAAACTGAAGCCCTAAATGTGAAAGGATGTTTATTGCTTAGTAGCATAGGGTTTGATAGTGGGAAGTATTGGGAAGTACAAATTACTTTGCTCTGTGCCCTTGTAAACACTGGAATAATTCTCTGGGGTTCATAAAAGCAGGCAATTTCTTCACCTGCTGTGCGACTATCGACTTTCCTCCACGTAGTTATGTATGATAACAGCACATAGCTGAATTCTGACGAATCAGCTGTAGTCAGTATTATCTTCTGGCCCCTATACCCCCACACAGTACGGTAGCAACCACATGGCCGTGCCACAGCCCAGGCGGTTAGTCGCCAGCTTCCCACCGCGGCGGCCCGGGCTCGAGCCCGGGTCAGGTCATGTGGGATTTGTGGTGGAGAAAGCGGTGCTGGGGCAGGTTTTATCCGAGTACTTTGGTCTCCCATGCCAATTCTCATTCCACCGACTGCTCCACATTCATCATCTACCATGCGAGGCAGGTACAATAGTCCAATTAATGGCCGATGTACCAAGTGGACTCAGTCTCACCCCACCCCAAGAAACCGATAAGAAATTCGAAATACCCAGGTGGAAGATGGGAGAAGTGGGAGAGTGCATTAACATTATGGAAGATGCAGTCAATGCTGATGTCAACGTGACTGCAGGCTACTAACATATCAGGATCGAATCCCTTTCGGTGCAAGAGCCTTTGCCGACTTATCACTGTGTTGTCTTGTAACGGCAGAGAATTGCATGCAAAATCCTTGTCAGTTGACTACGCTGTAAAGGTTAAGTTGTCCTTGTGCTTAATTACTTAAGCTATCAGGCCATGAAGACGTGTGGGGAATAGAGGTATATCTGTATCATTCTTGCACTCGGCACCAGATGGAAGCGAGTGGTCAGCTTCACGCTTCGGTAGCTTTACCCCGTGGGAAGAAACCCATGGTACCGTTTGTTATAGAAGGCTAGATGGACCCCAGAGCCGGGCTGGACGCTGTGGAGTAGAGGAAAACATCTTTCCCCTTCTGGGAATCAAACCAACCTTCCAGCAAGTAGCCTGTCGCTATACCGACAGAGCCACCCCGGCCCCTGAATACACTGCAGACACTCCAAACGTTCGATGTCAATTCCGAGACCGAGTACACCTGAGGGCGCAATGCAAGTGAGAAAATGTGGGGCAGAAGACATCAAGATTCAAAAAAGAATTCCCATATCAGCAACGCAAATCCAGGAATTAAAATTGTTATATTCCTTTACCAAGTGAGCGATACTTCTGCACTGTAGTGAAATTCTCTTTGCTGTAAACCTGCAGTGTAGCAACCCTCATCCATCCTATATGTGATACGGTGGTAAATCCATGAGCAACAAAAGTTCAGTAAGTGTTCAGTGTAACAACTTCAAGTAAATTTTCACAAGAATTCTTCTCTTTGTTCACAAAGGTAAAACGTGTCCCTCTGCTTAATTAATTAAGCGCCATGCCACGAAAACATATGGAGGAGTTGAGGTATAGGTCCACCATTCTTGACCTTGGCACTGGATGGAGGTGAGTGGACAGCTTGACGCCCAGACCGCCTTACCCCCAAAAAAAGTCCTTGGTGCCTACTGCACAGGTTGTTGGGTGGGCCCCAAAACCAGTCTGGATGCTGCGCAGTAGATAAAAATCTTCTGTCCATGCTGGAATCAAACCCCGGTCGTCCACCTCGTAGCTACATCGACTATTAAGAGCAGTAAATGTAAAGCTGTCCCTTGTACTTAACTAATTAAGCACAGGATCATGAAAGCATAGCTAGATCCACGTTTTCTTAACCTCGGCACTAGTCCGATGTGATCTGTTTCACGCCCCGACCAGTTACCCCCGGAGAAAGGGAACCCGGTACCCATTGGATACGAGGCTCAGTTGGCCCCAGAACCAGTCTGGACGACGTAGAGAAGAGAAAATTCTTTACCCTAGAGGGGACTCGAACCCTGACCCCTCTGTCGTCCAGCCCGTAGCCAGTCGCTAACTGTCCTATCCCGGTTGTAACAACATGAATTGTAGCTTCCCATGCAAGATCAATTTAAGAAGAAATATATATGTTTTACTTAGCCTTCCCCACCAGTTCCGAGCTGTACCTGTAATTAGTAACCTATTTAAAGATTTGGTTGTGTAAAATAAATAACATAGATTTCTAACCTTCTGGATTTTCGTAGTAACCCCATGTTGGAAGGCCGACAGCGGCTGCGCCAACAGCGAAACAGATGAATCCTAGGCAGGCGACTGCAGACGAATACAAAGCCTTCTTGTAATTCTGATCGGCCATAATTGAAACCTCATGCTGGACAAGATACACAACACTCACAATAGCACACCACACAGTACGAAAGACTTCCACCACTGCACTAAATCCACTCCAGTTCTGCGACCATCTTGTTTTCGATGCACTATAATTGCTCGTCTCAAGGTAGGTTACACGCCAGTGGTGGGAATACCACCAATTTCCCTTGCGAAAACACGTGAAGTTTAACAGTGTGTATGATGTCAGATTTTACGTTTCGTGACACAAAACGGTTTAATGCACCATTTATTAAATTATCCGTCAAAATTGGCGTAAAAGCCACTTCTGCTCTCAGCAGCGGTGCATCCTGAAGCAAGTAACAAACTGTCTGCGGTACCTTTCTCGTCGAACAACAGGCAATAACAGTAGGGGCTGACTTTCATTTTGATTAATTAACTTTCTGTAAATGTTAAATGGTTTTCCAATTTATTTTTGCTAATTGTATATAAAACGAAACATTACAAACCATCTGTCATGAAAACCAATTTGCTGAATTTCATTCAAAATTAACACTCTTTTATTACATGTCGCTTTCACGTGTCTCTTCCGCCCGGAATTATGATTTGTCATTACCTCTGCAACTGTTGAATTGAAACGGTTAACCACACGTTGCGAATTTTATGGGAGGAAAAATGAAAATTAACAGGGAGCGGTGTCAAGCAGAATGTAAATGTTTGGCTAACAGAAAATTAAACTGCACTAAAAAAGGACACTATCCTGCTACCAAACTAGTCTCCTTCTTGACCCGCACTTCCTGATATTGATCTTGTAAATTAATCACACGCCACTTCACAGTTTTCATTCAAGAACTTAGAGGAGTCAAATCACTTCAGGTTTCCGGAACACAAAATAAAAGTCTTTTAAGTGATACATCACAATCACAGAAACCACACAAATCACATCTATCAGTCGTGCCAATCGTTATTCAAATAATGAACCGAACTGCAAACGAACATTACACTTTAGTAACTGTGTGCACAGATAATACCATCATTACGAGTACGTGCTAACGTCTACTCCGTCCCGTAAATCACCTACTCACGAAGGTCAGATTATGTTTCGTCAATTTTCTTGTTCTTTCCTCCTTGCGCTTCAGCAATACGTACAGAACATAAGCGGTACGTCATCGCTACTGGAAAAATATATTGCAGCCACACGACTAACAGAGCGTGCCTAACACACACTGGTACCACGAGCAAACTACATGACATACGAAGAAGATTCTCTCGTAAACAAACGTTTCTCGAAATAAAGCGGAGACAAGTGACGGCAAGTTGCCAGCATTCTATAATCGATGTCGTTGCAATTAATATTTTCACTGCACATGCAAAAGTCTCGTCCTGATCTGGCAAGCAACGAGAAAACAAAGTTTTGAAACCACCTTGCGTGACGTGTAAGAGGGGCGGGGAAGTCAGACAGAGTAGAAGGGGTAAGGGGAATATAACTATGTTGAGTTATATCGAGTCTCGCTGTGGGTATAGTACGGTGCATAAGACATGAAAAGATGGACGACAGTTAGTGCTATTATATGTTAAGAACTGTAGTACAAGGAGACAACCATTATTTATTACAGTTTATTATATACTTAATTATTAATGCATATATTTTATTATTCTTTCATTCAACTGGCAAATTCATTTGTACGTTCTGTCATAGGCTTACTTCATTTGTTTAATAATTTAATTACGCCCTCGAACACTTGCATACTTTCCGGTCAATTATCATAGTTAATTTATTCGAATCTTAATGGATCCTTTCGTCTACACAGCTGTTCAGTTACCCACTTCGACATTATTTTGTCGATCCATTTTGTTCATCCCCGTCCCCTATCTGCCTGCACATGTTGTTTTATGAAAATTATTTTTGCTGATCATTTTACGATGACGCCTACTGCTGTTACAACAATCACTACATACTTTTTGTGACATGGCTTAATTACTTTTGTGTTTATGTAAACTGAAACTTAATGCATAGCCCTCTGCCTTTACGCTAAAGTTAAATAGCGAAGGAAACAAATTTATATTTGTAACCACAGCCATATTGTCAAGTCACACTAACACGCCTCTATGTCCTTCTCCTGACCTCCCACTCTTGCATCATGACAGCCTACCTGGTCTAGCCTCGTGCCGGGTGCCTAGTTATTCAAACGAAACAAAAGATGCACAGCCGCTACTAAATATCTTATCATGCCGTTATTGCTTAGTGGTGGGAAGTTTTATTTTCGAGGTAAATGGCGTTGGTTGTACCTCGCTTATATTCTTTTCACTGCAATTCAGTTTTTACGGCACGAGAAACTGAACGTGTGCTATTCGTTTGAATTAACTGGACGAATTTGGTTGTTGCGTAGCGTGGCACGTGCTGCGCAGTGACAAGTCGTATGAAGATTGGCATTCTTTACGCGTAACAGAAAGGACGTTGCTACCTTGAAGATGGAGGCAGCATTTTCCTCCGAAAAGTTAGCAACCATCTAGGGTACTACACAACTTCACATCCGCCAATATAGTATTGTGAGGTACTAATCTTTTAAATTTAAACTTTCCATTCCGCGCACGAGATGTCACTCCGATACATTAACCGTTCTGGGCTGAACTAGCCTATTTGTTACATTAATGAAAAGACCAGCGAAATAAATATATCACGCCGTTTCTTAATAATATAAATCTGTTATTTATTTTTCTTCAACAGTACGACCTATTGGTGTGTTGCCAAGAAACTATACCAAGGCAAGAAGCTAGCTTAAACAGCCGGAATTTATGCGCAACTGTTTCTCTTCATTTCACAGGTAGGCCCATACGCTGAGACTTCTGGGAGTTTTCCGTAATTTCTGGTCACCTAACGACGCTGTCAGCATCCAGATTACAAAGCGCCGACAATACGATGATTGATGACCGTGAAGTAGTTGGAGGAATGAGAAATGACAGGTGAAACGGAACTTTTCCTAGTTCCACTTTGTCCAACGCAGATCTCACATGGCCTGACCTGGGATCGAACCCGAACCGGTGCGTTTAAGAGCCGACGGCTAACAACCTGAGCGATGGCATGGCCCTATAAGAATTATAATCGAATAAATTATCATTCCAGTTTAGACTGCGTTAAGTTTTCAGGCTTGAACATCTCGCTGCGAATTTGAAGGTAATGTTGACAGATACGTAAGAAGTTTCGGAGAGCCTGCTGCCCCTGTCTTCAGGTTCTTAAATTTTGTCAATTTAATCTCATCCTCTTGCACTGCCACCATGTTCAAAATATTTATAAAATAACATCCAGAAATAAACAATATTTATTACGGTCCTGTCAACACAACAATATTTCCAGTAGGTGGAATTAGCTGTCTAGTACACGTTTCGGCGCGTGTGCCACATCCCAGGAGACGGCAGTCTTCATCCTTTGATATGTCCTATTGAAATTTCTTTTAATTGAGTCATTTATTTTATTAAAATCATTTATCTTATTTTCCAAGTCCATTCGATATTCCCATACCTGGAAATGTATGTCCTGCCTACTTAAGCGTGTTAACCTCTTCAATCGTCTGATCGTTATCAGAATTTTATCCCGAATTATAATTTTACCGATCCCAAAACCAAGTTTAAAAAACAGAAAATACACTCCCACAATCTTTCTTTAAGACGAGGTCCTATCTTCTTGTTCATATATTTTCCCCGCACTGCACGAAATCGGCAGAGACCTGCTTCGTACATGACCTCGGATTGTGAAGTGCCGAACGTGAGACAGCGCTGACAGTTGCCTGTCGCGCCGCTCGACGTAATTCCTTGTATTGATGTAAGAACAATCCCTCATGAAACACTATTGATCCAACAACTACACATACACCTGTTCAGGAAACAGCCGCCGTTAGAATGCATATCAGAACTTGCCGTCAGGCCAGTGTCTTCTGCTCGTGGGACTCGCAGATCGAATGGAGAATAGAAAGAGCCAGGGAAACAGTGACACTTATGAAAACAAAAGCCTAAGGAAGGGCGGGAGGAAAGAAAAACTATAGAGAAAGGGGGCAGTAACAAATAAACAGAAAGCCAAAAAGGAATAAATACATAAGTAAATAAGCGAATATTGAAAGAAGTAGAGATAGAAGGAAAGGAACAACAAATGAAGGAAGAAAGAAAGTGGGCAATAAGAAAAAGAACGGAAGAAAGAAAGAAAGAATTAAGTAAATAAATAATAAAATGAATCCCCTACTTCGTAGTCGTCATGAGATTTCGTGGTTTTTCTCGGTTCCTCCAAACCATAGAACAGGAGACGACCACTGGAGTTCACATCCTTCCAGTTCATAATCGCACTTCATACTATGTCATCTAAGCACTTGATATAGCGTCGTTGAACCCAGCAGGAACCAAATTTTTTGTGCGCGTCTTTGCCGCCAGTTATTTAAGACGCTTCTCCTACATGGAGACAATGGTTGGTAGGTTTCTGGATGAATAATGAATTGAAAAGAATCTGGAAGGAGACTGTCGTGACCTCAACGAGCTGGTATCTCAGCTTTTGTCTGGAGGAAATGAGAAAAACCACGGATGACCCCAATAAGGATAGCCGGACTCCCAGCCGAGATCCGAACCGACCACCTCTCGAATACAAATCTGCAGGTTTACATTTAGACCATCCGTTGAGTTCCGTGAGACAGTTTAGTGTATCGTGAACGGTTCATATACTGTGACGAAGATACGAACACAGAACTCCCTTAAGGGTTTTCATTTACACGAAAACTAGTCTAGTTTCTAGACGATTCTGACTGGTGTAAAGAACAGGTTCGTGAGTCCGCTTGGTGCCCAGTATATGACGTCAGTTTGCATTTTAAATTTCAAAACCTGTCCGGAGCCCGTGCCGCAATCAGGGGTTCACGGGAGTATCTCCATGTTTCTAGAGGTCAATGACATTTAGTCTCAAGTTGGAGTGGAGCGGGCCCATCGGACAGGCACTGCCATTTCGTAATTAAAATAGATACAAGCTGAAAGACACAACAATTGATAACTGTTACGGCAGCATCTATCTATCTATCTATCTATCTATCTATCTATCTATCTATCTATCTATCTATCTATTCCTGATACTCCTACTTGGAGCAAAGGACATCCGTGAAACGCTTCGTTTCACTTCAGTCGGTAGGATTCCTTGGACGGGGGATCAGCTCGACGCAAGGCCGATATCTACACACGACAGCACAAACACAGAATAAACGTAAATAAACATTCATGCCTCGAGTGGGATTCGGGAGCCCACAATCCCACTATTCGAGCGAGCGAAGATATTTCATGCCTTAGAACGCGCGGCCATTGTGATCGGCGGCCTCTGTTTTAGTGATGGAAATTTTCGCAATGTGGACGGCCGAATTTCGCGTGCAAATAAGAGAGACTGCGTGAAATTCATGCAATAACACCGGTTCTCACGGTCTCTTCGATTGCGGATTTTCTTGTTTTTCCTTCTACCCTGAAGATGGAGGCGATACTTTCCTCCGAAACGTCGGTTAACACCACATCTACACGGTGCCACATCCCAGAAGACTGCTTTCTTCATATTCTCATTTGTCGTTCGCTTTCAGGCGGAGCCCGAACTCAGCGACATCAATACGTAATCCATTTTGCATGCGCTCCGTGCTGAATGAACACCAATTGGTGAAACTGAGCCACATCACGGCCTTCTAGAACGGGTAGAACCACTGAATTGTGAGACATGGACAGAGAAAAGGTCTGTAACATCCCACACAGATGTTTCTTCCTGATTCATTAATCTGCGTGACGGCCACCGAGGAAGCTGGCTCAATCGGTAACATTTCGGGAAGCTCCCGGTTCAAATATCGGTCATATACAGGCTATACTCATCGAAGGTCTCAACAGGGATTCCCCGGAACCCTAGGGCTTTGCGAAAAGTCGCTAAGGATTCCACGAGAGATGGTGGGGGGGGGAATATATATATATATAAACATCAGGTATTCACATTCACGCTTGTGTGTGTTTGTATTAATAATGGCCACTACAGCTGTCTGTACCCCATATTTGGAGTTTAAACTTGCATCAAAAATTGATATTGGTTTATTACCTTTTATAATCATCAAAATTTTCTATGATTATTCAGTATTCAAACGAGTTATTTGATTGTTTCAATGATATTAATAGCATACTAACAATTCATGTTTAAATTAAGTGAGAACAAGTGCACCATGATTGAAATAAATAGTTCATTGTGGACGTTTTCATTCGTTTGTGGTAATTTGTTTTGGAGGGTGGAGCAAATTGAGGCAGGTATGAGTGGGGGACCGGCATATGGTGGTTGGCAACACTGTCGCGGAGAAATACCGCACATGTTTTTTTGTAAACGTTGCACAAGTTGGATTTTTTAAGTTAGAAGCATTGTGAACTTT